CTACCATTCAGCCAGCACTTGCATCAGTAGCAGTTTACCAGGTGGGAGTCACGTACTGGTTATACATCGTCTTTAATTTCCGTACCATGTCCGAGGTATGTATGAGAAAAGTTATATCGCCAAGGGTGGAGGCTGAACGGGCCTTAATGATCCATCTTAAGCCTAGTTATATCACTCAGGGTGGAGGCACTAACGTGCCTTAATGAGCCATCCTAGGTCCAGTTATATCGCCAGGGTGGAGGCACTAACGTGCCTTAATGTACCATCCTGTGCCCAGTTATATCGCCTACGGGTGGAGGCCGAGCTGGGCCTTAATGACCCATCCTAGGTTCTGGTGGAGGCCGAGTTGGGCCTTAATGATGTTGGGTTCGCTAGTACCGTACGGGTGAAACTCAGCGGAATAAAATTTTTCAAAACATGTATTTATCGTATAAATACACAACCCGTAAATACACAAAGCAAATTAACAGATCGTCATCTTTAAAAACATGTAATAATACAAATTTTGATTTGTTTTAAGTAATATCAAATATTACCTTTTTTTTCTCTAACTCCTTCTAAGACGACGGTGTTTGAGGAAATCGATTCTCGGTTTGGTAACGAGCACTTCGTGTTCCTCGCTTTAGGAATCCAGATGTCTTCCCTCTAAAAGTATCCACCGTTTGAATCCGACACCGTGATAACTCCTTAGCTAGTAGAAACTATCCAGTTTATAACTAGTATAGGTATATATATTTGAGGAGAATTACACAAGAACTCTTTCTTGTTACAACACTTGAATTAAACACTAACACTTTAGCTCTCAATACTTGAATCAAATTCTTGCAAATATTAACAACAACTATACCCATATTTATACTGAACTTTTTAGTAATAAAATATATATGTCTTGTATAACTTTTATAAGAAATGATAAAAAGTCTTTAATAGCTTTCACAAGTAAAGTTAAAAAATCTTTTATCATTTCTACAAGTTAATACAAGAATATAATAATGTGCAAGATCTCATCTTCTTCTATTATTATATTATTATTATTATTATTTAATCTTTAATCAATATTAAAAATCAATAATAATAATAAACAAATAATTTTAAACTCTTTTAAAATCATTTGTAAACATATATATTCCATATTAAAATTCTCCTCATATAATAATCATATTATTATTTGGATTTAAATTTTAAAATCCAATTTTAAAATCCAACTATTAATTTAGTAATTCCATTAATTACTAAATTAATATCCAAAATACATTTAATCAATCCAATTGATTAATTTAATATATTCTTCTAATTGACATCTAATAAAAATTAAATTTTGTCAATTAATTCTAACTCTTTAGAAATACTAATATTTGTCTTCATACAAACATTGGTGTGACCTTTTAGGTTCACAATTAATACTAGTAGTGGGCTTA